GACCTTCTCCTCCATAGCAGCCCAGTGCAGTGGTGGGCAATCTTCTGCTTCATTGTGAGAGATTGTCTCTGCGGTGGCCAGTTCCAAGCCTGGTGGCAACTTCATGGTTGGCTGTTGCACCTGTGTTTCCCTGGTGTATGTACCTTACTCCATAAGGTATTACCCTGAGAATAGATTACATTAGGCTCTGAAGATGGTGGCTTCAGTTGGACCTCCTAACACTGTGTCTGGAAAAAGGTGATAGTGGTACTTTTTAATGAAACTAAAAACAGGTGTACATGAGAGGATTAGTGATGGGGTGAGCTGTGAGTCCATCAAAAATCAAGTTATTGCAGGTGGGTTGGGAGCTTGAAACAAGAGCCTCATGTGCTTCAAAGATATTAGCCCACTCACTAAGCTCAGACTCAAGGAACAGTGGAGCACAGCAGTTGTCAGCCAACTCAGTAAGCACTTCAGGTGGAAATTGCTGAGGAGGGATAGTGAAAGGTGCTCCTGATATGGTTTGTGTAAGTTGTGATATTGTTTGGTAGGGTGTGTGCAACTTAGTGAGGAGGAAGGGGAGCAAACCAGTCAGAATGGATGTGAGAAGCTGGTATGGCTCAGAGTAGGCTCCTTGGGTGTGGTAGGCTTTGTCCCAGATCACTGGTTTGCCTGAAGCATCACAGAAAAAATGGAAAACATGAGGGGTGGAGTGACCAGTCAGGCCATGCATGTTATTTCCAAGCCAGCTCTTCCAGTCCCAAACAGTTTCAAGGGTATGCAGGGAAGGAGCTGGGCTGGTGGATCAGTAAGCCTGCTCAAGAAAACCAGAAAGTTGACTGAAATTTGAAGATGAAGTTAGGAAGGTGAACAAAAAGGGGCAATCATTAATGCTGACAGAAAAAACTGATGTGCATTGGGGTAATGAGTTGACAAATAAAAAACCTGATGTGCATTGGGAAAACAATCAACACAAAAAAAGAGTGATGACCATTACCTTGGGGTGTGAATGGAAGAGGTATGGAACTTTGTCTGAGCAGTGGAGAAGAGCTGGTTGATGTCTTCATGTGTATGCCCAACCAACAGAAAGCTCAGGTAGACCTCTTGGAACATATCCAGGCTGACCAGGAGACTGAGGAAGGCAAGCATGAAGACATTCTTGTTCTCAGCAGCACAATTGTCAGCCTGCAGGTAGAGGATAGAAGGGCTAGTGTTGGAGGCAGTGTTAGTCAAAAGGTGAGTTTGGATGTGGTGAAAGAGTGTGGAGATGACAAGGTTAGCATCTTTTGGCCAAAAGGGCTGAGGGTGTAGAAAGAGGTGTTTGCCATGGCTGTGGTCAATGAGACCACCAAGAACCATGGTGAACTGGTTGCCAAAGTGCATCAGGCCTTTGGCACAGGAGTGTGGGTGGGGAGAGGGAGTGGGTTAGAGTAGTCAATGATCAGGCTCATGTAAAGACTTGGTTGACTTGTTGCTTGGTGGCATTGGTCCTTGTAACTGAGGCGTTCTGCAGAAGAAAGAGCAAGGTGGTGAGTCCATGCACTTGCAAACTGTGCTGCCTCAAGAGGGCTTTTTGGCTCTCAAGCATTGCTGTGCAAAGTCAATGCAAGCAGAGCACTTGCTAAGGCATGAGTTCTTAGGCAACTTCACATAGGCAAAGTGGGAAGCCATGTGTTTGAGCATAGCAGAATAGGTGAGCACAGGAACAGTAGAGGGATGAGCATTGGCACACATAGAGTGCACTTCTCACCAAGTCAAAGAAATAGGTAAGTGGATGGTGGCATCAGGAAGGTTATCTCCAATCACATCAAAGAAAGTGGTTAGCCATAAGTGGGTATTGGAGGTGGCATTTGAGGGACGTTGCTGTCCTGTGGTGTTGTGTATTGGGACACACCCTCCAGAAATGAATATCTGTTTAGCAGAACGCCACTTCTTCCTGCTGAAACCATGCACCTTGTAGAGCAGCAATGTGAGGTGGGATAACAAATGTAAGGCCACAATAAAAAGGGTTGGCACCTTTTGGAAAGCATTCAAACACACTGGAGAACCATTGAGTCACAACTTGAAGTGGCACTCAGGTAGTGTTGAGACACAGCTGGCTGACATGATGTTGATGATGAAGGTGGTGCAATCACATTGAGATCTGCAAAGGGTTGTGTGATGTTGAGAATGTCAGCAAAGGAGAAGTTAGCAAGGCATTTCTTGCAACAACAGAATGATGCAAGAACAGTATTGATGTGAAATTTCACAACCTGTTTCCAGTCCCTCCAATTAGAATTTAATGTGGACAGCTTTTTTTGTAGACCTTCACTACCTATAAAATGTTGAAAAACCTGTTTTGATCATTTTGTTGTACCACCCATGTTCAACACACACTTCCTTACAATGTCTTCTTGCCAAGCTGCCCCAGGCCTTCCCAACTTCTTGGCCATGTCAGCCACTGAGAACTTGTGGTCATTTGAAATGAGAGGTCCAGTCATTTTGAAAAGCGATTTTGTTTGTGAGTTTAACCTCATAAAAATGGTTTTGATAACACAAAAATGGTTTTATTTTAACAATAACATCACAAAATTGGATGCATCTTGAGATATGGCAGATCAAAATTCCATCATAATGAGAGATGTGATACTGTAACTGGGCCAGCAGTCAAAGTCAAGTTAGTTTGGTGTGGTTGGCATAATGTGAGGATTACTGGGGTAGCCAGTGTTCTTTATTTTATTGGCATGGTGGCAATTGTCATTGAGCACACACCTAGAGGAGGAAGCTTTTTTTGATGAATTGGGAAGTGAACAAAGGAGTTTATTTTAAAAGTTGGAACGATTGGAAAGACAGAGTTTAGTATTCACTCCTATCCACATCAGAACCAGAGTGGAAAGGGGAAAGTGACCCAAGGTCAGGCAGTTGGTCAATGTCAGAGTTGTGGCTTCTGTCCCTGCTCTGGCTCCTGCTCCAGCTCCTGCTCTTGTGGTGCTTGTGTTGTGATCCACAGCTGTGCTTGTGGCAGTCATTGTGGGCACTGCTGCGTCTGTGGGCATGGGTGTTGGTATCCTCATGATCTCAATGCTTTCTCTTGTGCAATGGTTCCAAGCAAGGGGTTGTGGAGAGCTGGGACTGCTGTTGATTTTGAGAGTCAGTGATATATTTCATCACATACACATACACAACGAAAAAAGGGCATGGGTGAATGAAAACCTGCATAGGGGTGCTAGCTGATGCCATGGAAGAGTGGGGTGAAGGTCAAGAAGAAGTTGAGGTACTGGATGAGGTGAGTTGATGCACCACAGTCCAGGCTGCTGTAATCCAGGATGCAATGTCAGATGGGTTGGAGTGAATGAGGATGCTGTCAATAGCACTTCCAATAATGTTGGTCTCAGTTTCATTCAGTTGCACAGAAGCTCCATTGATGTGGTAGCTGAAGTTGAGATGGAAGCAGGCATGAAGTGGAGTAGCACAAAGTGGAGTGTAGTTGAGATTGCTTCATGCTTTGGTGCTGGAGGTGTAGGCAGTGAGGACAAGCTGATAGAAGACATGACCTATTGTTGGTAGGAAAGCAGGTGAGAAGAGCATGTCCCACCAAGTTACATGAACAAAATACATACTCAGTTGATGCACTTGAGGAGCAATGTGGACCCACTTTGGGTTCCACCTCTTGATGAGGGAGGGCTTCTTGTAGGCCATGAGCTTGGGATGGTGATATCCTGGACCAGCAGCGACTCTGGATTGAAGGTATAGGACTTGTTCACTTGACCAATGAAGATAGTGTAGAGGCCTGCATGAGTATTGTGTACATGTATGCAATGAGTTGTCAGCATATTTCTAAAAAGGAGTAAGCTGTGGAAGGGGTAATGAAGAGCAATAAGTCATTGTGTATGTGTACATGATGCAATGTACCATTGTGTTGGACCCCTCTGGCACTCTTGGAGTGGATGTTGGGGATGCTCCCTGAGATGAGATGCAGAAGCTGCCAGGGGCTATTCTCCTTGGCAAGGAGGTTGAGAAGAGCCGCCATTTCCAGCACATTGGTTGTCAGGACAGCAGCAAAGCAGTCTGTGTGGTGAGACAGGTTAGTAATCAAACACATGAGCCTTGATTTGGAGAGCAGTCATACCACATCAATTCAGATTGGTGTAACCCATCATCTGGTTCAGCCTGTGCTGATCCCAGTGGTGAGTGGATGCATCAATGGAGATGTTGCACAGGATGATGTCAACTAGCTTGGGATTTGTGTGAGTGACCTGGAGCTGTTCAATGCACTTGTGGAGGAGCTTCTGGTCAGATCTGGTTTCATTGTGTGTTTGTGCTGGTTTGAAAGGTTCTTCTGCTGAGTCAGTGGATTTCCTCTTACCTTTTGCTTTATGTTTCTCCTTTTCTTCAGCTTTTTCCTTCTCCTCTTTCTCCTTTTGAATCCTCTCTTGCAACTCTTGGATAATGTCTTCAATTTTGATGTGTGGATTGCTGAGGATCAGAAGAAGTTGCTCCTGGTCACAGGCAATGTGATGATCCTAATGTAAAGCAAGCAATTAGATTGGCATATATTGACTGCAATTCAATGCATACATGTACATGATAAAAATAATGGAGCATATATTGACTACAATTCATTGTGTATGCGTAGGAGAACATACCCACTCTCCAGTAGCCACCTTGTTCTTGAGGTGGATGAAGTCCCTATCCATGAGGTGTGTAGCCACCTTTCTTGCCTTGCTCAGGAACTCAACACATCTCTGGCAGGCAATGAGGAGCTCCTTGAAGGCTGGAAGAGAGTACAGTCAGCACAATGGGATAGTTTTAAGAAATACTGGTGGGGAGCATACCATTCTTGCTGATCTTGTACTTGTTGCCTGCTTGGATCTGCTTGTGCTGTTCAGTTGAGATGTGCTTGAGGACATGAAGCAGAATTGGATCAGAAATCAAGTGATTGCAAAGATAGAGGGGTGTGATTGGCATGGGTTCTTTGGATTCAGCATACAAATTCTCAAGGTAGGCAGCACTCTTGGGCCAACTGTTGACATTGAGGAACTTCTTCATGATGCCAGTATAGTTGTGCAGATTTTCTTGTAGCTTCCTCTGTTCTGCCTTGTTGAGCTTCTTAGCCTCAGGCTGCATGAAATAGTGGAGTTAGAAAGTGTTTGGAAGTTTGTAATTTTCTGTCACATACACATACATGATGAAATGTACCATTGAGCTGATGAGCTTCTTCCAGTCAATGGCTTGCTCGCCTTGAGTAGTGGTCCAGAACTTGTCAGTGCATAGGGTGTCATGGTACTGGAAGAAGTCCTCCCACTCATCCTTGTCAGCCTCGTTGTGCATGTGGTTCCAGCCCCACATGAGGATGTGAATGTTGTCTTCTGAGACCTTGTTCTGGAAATGGAGAAAGGGTATTAGTTGGAGCAGGGACATCATCAAAGTGTGGGCTAGGAGGAGATGAATTAGCAAACATTCTATTGTGTATGTGTACACAATAGAATGTCCTGCAGTTGTGGTGCATAATTGGCTTCACAAACAGCATGAAAAGCATACCTCCTTCATCAGTCGCCATGGCAGTTGGCAGGGTTACTTGCTCCTCTCTGGCAGATGTTGTTTGGGCTGTTGCATCAACCTGAAGAAAGTACAGGATTGGTGAGATTTATAAAGGACCTCATTTCATTTGAAATCAAACACACTTACCTCTGGTGCTCTGAGCAAATCTTGTGACATCTCTGTGGTGGAGCTGGCTCCAGTGGTGCTATTTTTTTCAGCTTCTTGCTCTTGAGTCTCAGGTATGGTCTGCTGAGAGTCAAGAACAAGCTTCATTGATGAGAATATATCAGTTGTTCTATCATGTACATGTACACAATAAATTACTTATATAAAATGGTGGTTATAATTGATTATAAGAGTCAATATTGTTGAATAGAATGTAAATATGGAGTATAATGAAACAACTGTTATTATGATGAGACAACACTGTGAAATGAAAGGATGGCATAAATTAGTTTTATTGTATATTTAAAATGATATTTCATCATGTATGTGTACATGATGAAATTGTGTCTATAAATGCTAATAAGATTTCATCACATACATGTACACAATGGGATGGTGCATACCAATTCAGTCAGTTTTGCCTTGTTCTTCTCCACCTCTGCCACACTTGTGAAGTAATTCTGAAGTGGAAGACACATGATTCAATTAAATCACATTACTTTCATTAAACAAACTGTGCTATTGATGTACTGTGTGGGCACAGCTGAAGCAGTGGAAGCTGGATCACCTCAAGCTTGTTGAGGTGGAGTGGAAAGCTTATCACCTCCACCAACAGGAGGCTGTTGCTGATCCCAGTGTGATGTTGTCAATTATCATGGACAGTTTGACTGATGTCATTCTACCTCTCCTAGTGTGTGCCTGGAAAG